GGGCTCCTTTCTCTCCCTAGATCTCAACCCTATGCCCACGGAGGAGATCGTGCAGATGTTCAACGAGCTGCGGAGCGACCTGGTACTGCTGTATGAGCTGAAGCAAGCCTTTGCCAACTGTGAATACGAGCTTCAGATGTTACGGCATCGCTACGAGGCCTTGGCCAAAGCTGGTAGTATCGGCCCCCTCAGCGTGGAAGGCAGCCATCCAGATGGCCAGACAGGGCTCGGCATCGAGGAGGGCAAGGGAGATGCCAAGGACCAGATCATTGACGTAGTAGGAGCACCACTGACCCCCAACTCGGTGAGAAGGAAGGTTGTGGGGGCAGAACAGGGAGCACTCAGGTCTCCGACGCAGATGCCGTGACAAGCACTGGGATGCTGCCCTGCTCTCCCTCCAGGCGTGCGCGTCCAAGGGAGCACAGCACGCCTTTTCCCCCAAGTCCCAGTGCTCTCTGGGCTCGTCTCCTGTGCTGGACAGTGTTCTTGGTGCTATAGGTGGGGTCAGCAGGTCTTTCTTCATCCTGCATGCAGGCAGATGGCTTGATGTGGGTGCCATCATGGACCAAAGCAGTGAAGCTTTGCCTGATGAGAGCTTGCACCAGGGCAGCGGCAGTGATGCCAGCACAGCTGCAGGCCTGAGGCATTTTCCTCCAAGCCACATAAGGGCTGCTCAGCAGAGGGAAGCAAGCGGGAAAAGCAGTCTTGATATGATGAGCCACGACCTGCCCAAGTCCCTGGAGTCGAGTGGTATCCTGCCTGGGGCAGAAGGCTTGGGAAGGAGAGAGGTATTTGAAGAGCTGGGCAGTGTTTCCATACTCTGCTTCCAGCGCTGAGGAAGAAAAGCCAGACCTCGGAGTTCTAGAAGCCACTGAAGCTTCGCCACGAGCCCTGCAACAGCACCCTGTGCGTGTCCATCTGCAGGTTGTACATCAGCAGCCCTCTCCTCCCTAACTCTACGAGGGCAAGTTGCCCAGCCCCTCACCCTCAGCCCTGAGGCAGCGGTGTGCTTAGAGGTCAGGCAAGGCTGCTTTCCCCTCTGTGCGCTCCCCTGGAACAGCTGAGCTGAACTGTCTGACAAACAGCTGCCTGTCTCCACGCAGTGGCATCCCTGACGCCTCAGATATACTGCCCCCGGTAGCGTCACAGACCTTTATTTTCTAAAATGTATAATGTATTATTGCAGGATATTCAGAACACCTTATCTGTCAACAGCAGAGGTGACGCATTAATCTGGACTTGAGTAATGTCCTATTCAGTTGTGACAACATGGAGTCATAAGGAAGCGTTCCACCGAGACAGGTTCATGTTCGCAAAGAAGTCTTTTGCATCTTTCTTTCACTGCATTCAATCTCACCCTTCGATGCGGTCCACAGTATCCCGGTTGGTGAACGCTTGGGGCTGCTTCCCATCGCACTGCCTTCCCTCGACAACCCTTGATGGGAAGGAAGGCGGTGGTGGCAGCGGCCGTGGCTGCAGCAGGGAGAGCCCAAACGTGTTCCTGACCACGTTCTTCCTCAGCCCCACCTCTTGGAGATGGAAACAAAGAGGTGGACCTGGGCAGCGCAGAGAGGGTTAAACTGACCTCGTCTCTGACATATTTGAAAGAAATATAATCAAGTTAATTCACTGCAAGGCAAATTCAGTACCTAAAGGGCCTCCATGTTAAATACAGCACTGACCTTTACCGGCTGATTACACAAAGACGACACAATTAGATTAGTCCAAGACAAAAGGTCAAGCACATTCACACTGTGACCATTTTATGCTACCTTTAGAGGGGGGAAGAAATTACCTCCCAGCTGGAGGGGTATCTGGATGAGGAGGGGAACGGGACCGCTGTGCCGCCTTCTGCGTGGCTCGGGTATGTTTGGGGTGTCAGACAGATGCAGGCACCATGCTTCCCTCTACCTTCCCTGCAGTTCTGGGTGCTCAGGCAGTGTGGGGGACCAGCAGCCCATGGCCCAGAACCTGCTGTGAGCTGGCAGGATGTGAGCAGGTGTGTCCTGCTGCAGTGCTGAGCTAGCAATGCCAGTAGTGCAAGCAGACAGCTGTTTGTTGAGCAGGTGTTTGTCGGGGCATTCCCTGCCTGCCTGCTCAGCAGCACGATGCTGCCTCCCTGCTGCAGCCCTGGCCCTGGGTGTTTGTTGGTGATGCCCTGCCCTTTGCCAGGGCTGCTGCAGGGGTTTAAGCTGGCTGTGCCAAGCTGGCTCTGAGCTGCAGCCTGTGCTTTGCCACTGAACTGCCTCGGGGAGAGTTGAGTGATCTCCCTGCTTACAGATTGCTCCGAGTTAGAGAATCCCTTTGTGCTGCCTGTCCACGGCACTCCATGTGTTGGATTAAGCATGGATTAGTTCAGTTCCGAGCCAGCTGCTGCCCTGAAGCCGGCTTTGGTTCCCCAGGGAGAAGTATCTCGCTCCAGATGTTGGAGGGAGCGAGTGGCAAAGCAAGGAACGGGACAGCGAGCCCCATCTCCCGTATGGTGCCCCACAAGCCTCAAATTCCTTTGCAGGTGTTGGCAGGGCTGGGTGAGGGCGCAGCAGCGTCCCGAGATCCAGGCTGTTAGCCGCTGCCCCGTCCCTCCTGGCGGCACTGCTGTCGGCGCTGTGTCCCCTTAGGAGCGGCGTCCCCGGGGCCGGCGGGAAGCCCTGCGCCGTGCTGCCTGCCCATGGCCGCCTCGTCCCTGCCGCGGCTGCCATCCCCCCTCCCAGGGGCTGCGGTGCCGGCGCTGACCATGAAAGCCGAGCCGGGATCCCCCTGGTGCTGACCCCGGTAGGGACTGTGCTCGGGGCCTTCGGGAGGTGAAAGGTGAGCCGAACTCGGAACAAATTAGTTCCAAGCAGAAGTTCAGCCAGTTACTCCAGATTGGATCCTTTGATTTCCGCAACTCAGACTCCACTCAGTGATCTGTAATGAGTGACTCTCAGAAATCCTCACATTGCAGCACTTTGTTCCCGAGCTCACAAGTCAGCCCATTAATGGGTAAAGGAAAAGACCTTGAGTCTAAGAAGTCTCGGGTTCAGAGTCAGAATTATTTGACTTTTAAGCTTCCTTTATCTGAACTCCTGCTGACTTCTTGTTTTCTGAGCCTGTTTGAAAGCTAGAAGTTACATTGTTAAGATCAAACATTCTCTCTTTCCAGATGGAGTTACAATATCTGTCTTTTATATATATATATATATATATATATTTTAATATATATATATATAGTGTATATATACCAGGGTGTATATATATTCCACTCTTTTTTTTGTTGTTGTTTAATCGCTCTTTCCATTAAAGGAAACTAGACTTGTAGGCTCTTGTAAATTATAATGTAAAACATTTTTTTTAACCAGACAGTTCCCAATTTTGCCCAAGGCGACTGGAATAGCTGCGCCGCAGAAGGCAATAGGAAGGTGATTAATATGAATTTGTGACATATTTGAAAGATGGGTCTTTTGCCATATAAAGATTATCAAACACATGTGCTCTTCCCCATTAATTCCGCAGCCCTCCCAGGAAAGCCACAAAGCCCGGCTCCTTTGTTTCCAGGGTGGGTTTTTGTTTTTAAATGTACCTTTTGGTCCCCTTGATTACCACGTATTTGATTTTTATAGGGCATCTGTTCACACTGCTGCGTGGGTTCTCAGGCCCTTTTATTTCCCCGTTAAGCGGATCCCGTGAAGGCAGCCGTGCCAGGGGCTCTGGCCAACCCTGTGTGTGTGCTGTATTTAACTTGTAGCCGTGCAAATTCCACCCTCTGTTTGCCGTCTGCCCGGCACGCAGTGGGGCCACAGGGCCTCCCACCTCGTGCTGCTCAGAGCACAGGGACCTGCAGGAGGAGAGCAGGGCTGCCTGGCCCGTCCCGGGGTGCTTGGTGGCAGGGCCGGCCTCTGCCTGCAGTACAGAGGGGGTGGTTCAGCAGGGATCCCATCCCGGTGTGGTGCAGATGGCTCCATCTTGCCTTGTGTACCTGGATTCAGCCCTAAAACTTTCCCCACTCTAGTGATGCTGGCTATGAAGCCAGCTGCCTTGGTCACCCCATGTTTTACAGCATCCTGGGTGTGCTGCAGCATCTCTACTATCACCAGTAGTGGTGGCTGGGGCTCGGGCACTGCAGGTGCAGGTGGCCCCAGCCGTGTGCTCCCCCTGTGCAGAGCAGGCTGCCCACCCTCTCGACCCCTCTGTGCTGCCTTTCAAGTGTAACTGGCCATCGATCCGCCGTGACAACGTCCTCTGAGTCACATTCTCGCCTGCAGGAGTAAAGGGCAAAGGCCAAGTTCTTAGTTTTCATAGAAAACTAATTAGACGACTCCATCGAAAATAGCTCAATAAAGCTGATTGGGGGCTGCACAGAGGGAGCCATTAAAGCCCCCGTGACCTTTGCTTGGGTTGGGGCTGCCCCTTCCCTCCTGGAGCTGCCCGCTTCCTTCCAGCTGCTTGGCAGGTCCCAGCAGGGACCAGGCTGCAGTGCTGTCCCCAGGGCTGCCAGGTGCCCTGCCAGCAGTGTGACTGCGTCACGGTGCTGCACAGCTGGTGGCTCAGTGCAGTGCAGCTCACAATGGCCCTGATTGATGCCCGGGGCTGAAGTTGATGCATGCTGAGGCTGCAGGGCAGGGGAGGTGACAGATGCTGGCGGTAGCTTGGTGACGGCATCACCCTGCTCTGGGCATTGCTGGGACACAGCTCAGCTGGGATGGGATGGTGGCATCCTTGGGGCTGATCCGTGCAGGGGGCACACAGCACATGGACAGCTTGTCCACGCCCTCAAACATCCAAGGTGGTGGGAGAAAGGGACGGACACCTCGTGGTGGTTGTGCTGGAGTTTGTGATGGGGCAGCGCTCCCATCCGCAGCCCCAAAGCCCGCTTTTGCACATGGCACCCATAAAGGGTGAGCTGGGTGCCGTACCCCCAGGGCGGGCAGTGGCCGTCCTGCTGCCCTGTCTCATCCAGCACACCCCGTCCCAGCCCACTCCATCCCGCATTGCACTCACACATGCATGGGCACAGCCTGGGCTCCTTTACCCCCAAACTTTATTCATGTGGCACATTTACAGCAAGGATTGGAATAACTAGACAATGAAAATGCTGGGTTTGCATTATCGGTTGGTTTAACTGGAACACCACACACCATGCAGTCATGTACCGCCAAGTTCAGTGCCTGTATTGCCCTTCTGGCTGCCGTCACCGGCTTCGCTCCAGGCCATGCACGCACGGGCCCGGGGCTGCAGCCTCCCTGCAGGTCAGCACCCGGATGAGGGCTCCATTCAGCAGGGCCCCGGGGCTGGGTGACACTGGGTGACACTGGGGTTGCACGCCCTCAGCCTGCCCCGTGGCTGCCCCCGACTGCGAACCCACCCAGCCAGAGGGGACGCGCTCGGCAACTCTCAGGCAACAAGCCAGCTGCTGCTGAGCATCCGCGGGGACCCGCGAGGGGCACGGGGAGTGCGGGGACCGCGGGCACGCGGGGGCTGAGCCTCAGCATGGGAACCGGGGGAGCGGGAGGGGAGCGGGCCGGGGGACCTGGGCCGATTTACAGATCCCCTGCTCCAGGTACCTGTGGGTCGGGGCCAGCGCGCGCTGGCACGTCCACCGCCGGCAATGGACGCGGTGCTGCGGCACACCTGGCCCCGGCGGAGCTGGGACGGGTCGGTGGTGCTGGGGCAGGGCTGGGCATCCCACCCATCCCCGAGAGGCACGAGCGGACGGGACGGGGGCTCTGCACGCTGTCACCTCCCCCCCTGCTGCCCGCCTACCCGCCCGCCGGGCCCCTGCCCCACTGAAGGGAGCCCTCCGGGGCCCCGCAGCCCGCACCAGGGCTGCCAGGGGCTCTGCAGCGGAGAATACAGGCACTTCACCTTGAACATAAAGAGACGGATTGCGTTTGTCACATACAGGAGTCAGAGAGGGGTTAGTGTCGATTCAAAAAGAGGGGAGAAAGGCGCTCGGGGAGAGGCCGGGGCTGGCGGGGAGGGCGGGGGCCGTCTCGACACTGCTGAGTCTCTAGGAGCGCGGCGTGGGCACGCGCTGCAGCAGCCGTCAAGGCCTGAAAACATAAAACCAGCAAAAAGAAAGAAGGGAAGGCGGGGACGGCCCATGCCGGGGGACGTGGTGGCTACGGGGCGGGAGAGGGAGGACGGGGTGGGGCGCGGAGGGAGGGACGGAAATCGGGAGCCAAAGAAAAGAACAAACTACGAGTCTAAAATGTGGTGCAAGCGCCCTACGCGGCTGTCCGCTAGCATGGCATAATGTCCGGAGCAGCCCAGAGAGGGAGTCACATCAGGTCTACACAGATTTGCCTTCCCATATATACAACCTCTACTGGAGTAACAGCTGAATTGAGATTTGTGTCGGTTCCTCTGGCCTCGGTTGCCGTTTGAATGCTAGAGCCCGTCCTCCCCGCCTCGCCGGCGCCGGGCGCATGCAGCCCTGCCTGGCCTGCCCTGGGGATCAAAAGGGTTTGGAGGTCTGCTTGAAGATGAAGCCTCTATGGGCCAGTGTCTTCATGATGTTGGCGATGTTCTTACAGTCATCTGTGGAGAGAGCACAGAGGCACCGGGTTAGAGAAGGTCTGGCACAGTGACGTCGCCTGGGCTGCGTCCCCAGCTGGGCTCCAGCTCCCAGCCGTCTCCCTGCGAGCCCAGCGCCCGACTGCCCCGTGGCCGCACCAGGGACAGGGCTGCCCCGCTCAGAGCTGTCCCCATCGTGGCCTCAGGCTGCCCCGCTCAGAGCTGTCCCCATCGTGGCCTCAGGCTGCCCCGCTCAGAGCTGTCCCCATCGTGGCCTCAGGCTGCCCTGGTGCCACGCAGCCGCGGTGCCGACAGACGGCCGGAGCGTGGGGAGGGGGCAGGCACTGCCGTTATTTACCTGGGACTAAACGCAGGCACCGTTTGCTAAAATAGAAGCCGGGCTTAAATTGATTCCTGGTGTCTATATTTCATGTTGAAAATTGGCTTGTAAATCCATGTTTTGATCTATGAGGGCCGTCTCCTTAAGAAAAAGCAAGAGTAAATGTGTAATTTCTCCCTTGACAGCACACGGCACAGAGGCGATCCTTCTTCCCGCTCCCCTCCGTTTCGGGACAGCTCCACTCGTTCCGATTACCACTCTTTCTTCCTCGCCCCACGCCTTGATGTCTCCATTTCATTACCGCGCGCCCATTTATCAAGCTGTTACCGTAAGGGTGACTTTGCCCACTTGCGTGTGGCAGCGGGGCCCGGCCGGCGCGGGGAGCAATGCCCAGGGAGGGGGCGCGGGCTGAGCCCCCCTCTCGCCGCCGCCGCCGGATGGATGTTGTGGCGGAGGGAAGGCTGCATCATTACTGATGTGTAAATGATAAAGAAGCCTCCACATCCATCTCCCAACTGTAAATCCAGGGAGTGCTTTATAATCAAGCTACAGCGATAATAATGTGAAATTAGGTCTCTCTATCAACGGGAGGAGGCCTTTTAATCACGGCTTAAAGGGTGCAAACGCTGTTTATCATAATTGAACTGTATCCGGGCTAATTGTGGCCATATTTCACTGTCTAGGAGACAGCAGGCTGCCTGCTGACAGTGCCTTGTGCCGCATTGAGACCCCGCGTGGCTGTGCCGTGCCGCTGCCAGGTGCCATCAGCCGGACTGTGCCACCCTGCTGTGCTGGTGGCAGGAGCGCTGTCACCTGGCATGGCCACGGGCTGGGGGCACCTCTGTCCCACGGCCCCGGAGCTGCTGAGGATGCTCCTGACACTGGCATCCCAGCCCATGGGTGGAAGATGCCGCGTCCCCGTTAGCTGCACGTGTCCCTGTCACAGCCACCGGGCATTGCGGAGACGCAGGGCACTGCTTGGGAGATCTCACCATCCCACAGCTCACGGACAAGGTTTGCTCACAGCATCCCCTTCTCCGTGTCCCCGTGTTCCCAGTCCCTCCACCCATGCCCGGTGGGACAGCATGGGGACACGGCGGCTCCCTCCCCCTCCGGGCACCCTGCGGGGTGGCAGCCCCAGAGGCACAGCCACCAACACCATGAGTCATTTTGGGAGCTTCAATCCAAATCAGTGCGAAGGTAAACACGCTTATTATAATTATCCATGTACAAAAAAAATCAACAACAGCAGAACAACTTTCTAATATGCAATTACAGCCATCTATTGATTTTACAATGTAATCCGCTCCGATTGATTTAATAACACAATTATAGGCTGGCTCTCGGGATATTAGAGTGGGAGATTTTCATAAACTCCAAAGCAAAAAACTAAGCGGCTTTTAAAACAACACAGTCAGATGGCTGTTTGGGGAATTATTAGCAATATGAAATCCTCTAAATCTGGCCGTTGTTACCTTGTGGAAGGAATTTCTATTACAAAAATGGCAATCGACAACCTAAAAGAGCACGGACGGGATTGCTCTGCTGCTCTTTCAGTGCTTAATCCATCGCAGGCCACGGGGCTGGGGGCAGGGCCAGGGATGGGCAAGGGGGCAGGTGTGGGGCTGGGGACAGGGGCAGCCCCGTTGTCCAGCTGCCCCCCGGGGGGGCACACAGCCACAACAGGACCCAGAGCCCCTGCAGTGCCTGCACAGCACCGCTCACCCTGTGTCCCGTTGGAGTGACAGCACATGCTCCCCATTCCCACTGCCCCGTCCGCAGCCCTGCGGCACCCACCCACATCCTCACACCCACTGCCACCTCCACGGCACTGGGGTGCCCACGTGTCCCCATGCCCAGCACTGGGGAAGGCAGCCCTGCACCACTGTCCCTTGCTCTGCACAGCCTCCGCGCCCCGGCTCCCTCCATGTATTCCCGACTTTATGGGCACATTTTTCTTGTCAAGCTGACAGGGTTGCTAAGTGGATTTCTCCCTGATATGCGGACGGATTATCACATTACTCCAATGTCCTACACAAACATATTACTTTATATTCAATAGCTCTAATGAATATAAACTGCTTTTTCTTTTTGGGGGGCGGGGGGTAATCTATAGATTTTTAATGAGGGCACTATTAACTCCCTCCTCTTTAAAACAGACTTAGGTGCAGCCTCTGAGTAGAAAATCAATGGTGTTATTGTAGGAATATTGTATATTGATATTGTAATAATAAGATGCAATTGATTTAGGGGTGTTTCGCGCCGTGTAGGAAGGGGTCAGCCCGGGGTTACCCGGCAAACGGAGCGCGGCTGCGCCGTGCTGTCCCACACTGCGCCGTGTCACGTCTTGCCGTCACCCACTGTGGGCATGGGATGGCCGGGGCCAAGCTCATCCCAACAGCTCTGCACTGTCCCCATGTCCTGGCTGGGATTGCAACTGCTTGGCACCGCAGGGTACAGGGACTGCTGTGGCCCATCTCCATGTCCCCGTCGGGAGCGAGCCCCGCGCGCCCGTACTGCGGCTGGAAGACGGATCACCCCCCGGCCCGAGCTGAGCAGGTCCATATTTAAGCTGTCCCCATGCTTTATGGTCTGTACGAGAACTGATGCTCAGGCGACTGGGGGCCATTTGTCAATGTTCTAATGGCAGATTACTGTTAATGAATAATATCGCTGCTCCCTTTGTACAACAGCTCCCTGCAAAGTGGGAACAGGGACGCGCGACCACCGCCTCCCCGCTGCCGACCCCTGGTGACGGGCAGTGGCCCCATGACCTGGCAGCCACACGGTCCCCGTGGCCCTAAGGGGACCAGACACCCCCCAGCTCTGGGATCAGCAGGATGCGGGTCCCACTGCAGGGTGACCTTGGCAAGCGTCACAGCCCAGCTCTGGGTAAGGGCAGGACATGTAGGGACAGACGGCCGCGGCAGTGACAAGGACAGGTTAGGGCCACATCACCCTGCACGGTGCGGGGTCGGCGTGCCCCAGCTGCCGGCAGGTGTGTTATGAGGAGCTGACAGCGACGTGCAGAATATTAAGAATAACTTACCTCATTATCTGCAATTACGTTACTGCCACACACCTCATTTCTTCACGAAGAAAAGGAAATTAGCTTTATATTGACTTCATCCCACTGCCTCTCCTGGCTGCCCCCGCCGGAGAGCCGCTCAGGATTTGGAGACAATTGGTGGCTCGCTCCATCCATCCCCTACCTGTTGCCATCCCTGTGCTGGGGGATGGGGTGCCCTCCCCATCCCAAATCCCACCCACACCACGGGCACCCTACAGCTGCCGGGTCCCTCACCTCCCGTGCCCCAGGGCAGCACAGGGGGCGTGCAGGGGATGGGGCCGTCCCAGTTCTGACGTGGCCAAGGACCTCCACTTGCCCCGCGTCCCCATGAACGGCCCCAGACAAACCACGCGAGCAGCCCTGGGAGGGCTGAGCGATACAGGGAAAAAGCCAATTTCATCTTTATTAGGAGGAGATTTCTCTTTTAGTAATAAGCACACTTCAAATAATTAGCGTGTTTTACGTAATAATGAAATTATGGAAATGCAGGCCACTTATTCAAACAAGTCGCCATTACCATATTTTTAAATATTAGACTTAATTAGAGTTTATCACTTCAGAGAAGTACGAGGAGTGGAGATTTTTTTTCCTTTACAAAAAAAATCCTCATAAAGTGTTTATTAAGAGCGGGTAAGAAGGGGATAATGATCTGTTTGGAAATTAAGGCAATCAAACATTTAATGCTCTGCACTCCTGTAGGCAAAAGCATTCAAATGAGTCAATTATACATCCATTATCCAGGCACGATTAAACAAGGCAGGACGGGGAATTTGTCCTCCCCATCACACGATTGTCGCGAGGACTTATGTCCACTTAAAGGCAGCTAATAAAACACCCAACTTGTGGGAAGAGAGGAGGGAAGGAGCGGGGAAAGGGATGGGGTGGGAAGAAGGGGGACGAGGGAGCGGGTCAGCGGGAGCGCCGAGGGGAGAGGTGGGAGATCCGTAATGATGCGGCAGTGTCTGCATCCCAGCCCGCCATAAATCAAAGTAATTAAGTTAACATGAAAATCAACTTCGCCATCCCGTTAAATTACAGCATTTGCATATTAGGACTCAAATGAAGTAGGTGCTGGCGAGGGGGAGGAGGAAGAGGAGGAAGATTTGGGGGGAGGGGGGCGGGGATCCGCGCTCCAAAAAGGCGCCCATTTATTACGGTGAATAACTAATTCCAGAATTTATAGTGCTGGATTTTTGTTCCCGTGCCATTTATATTACAGAAGGAAATTAAGGGGCGGGCAGGAGGCTGGCTGGACATCTTTCTGCGTTATTGCTTGTCTGCCATTTGCAAATCATTATTAATTGTGGCCCGTGCCGCTGGTGCAGCAGGGCAGGGTGCCTGGACAGCCGGAGCAGACACACATATCTCTTCATCAGGACCCCAGCCGCTAGCCCTGGAGAGCCAATTACCCCTCCCTGATTGGTATCAGATAAGGAGGGAATTTTTACAAATTAGGGAATAAATAGAATTTCCACACGTGGAGCAGGGAGGGCTTGAGAGGCAGTAATGAAAAACGATACATCACCATCAGCCAGACAACCCTATTCATACGCCGATGCATTACGCTCACTACTCATAATCCCGCCGGGTGACAGACAGCCCGCGGAGCCGCCG